GGAGAGGAGAGGAGAGGAGAGAAAGAGGACGAGGAGAGGAGAGGAAGAGGAGAGGAAGAGGAGAGGAAGAGGACGAGACGGGAGAGGAGATGGAGAGGGAGAGAGAGGGAGTAGGAAGAGGGAGAGGAAGAGGAGAGGGAAGAGGAGAGGAAGAGGAGAGGAGAGGAGAGTGGAGAGAGAGAGAGAGAGCAGTGGAGAGGAGAGAGAGGAGAGGAAGAGGAGAGGGAGAAACGAGAAAGGAGAGAAGAGGAGAGGGAAATGAGAGGAAGAGGAGGAGAAGAGGAGAGGAAGAGGAGGAAAGGGAGAGAGAGGAGAGGAGAGAGAGGAGAGGAAGAGGAGAGAAAGAGGAGAGGGAAAGGAAGGAAGAGGAGAGGAAGAGGAGAGGAAGAGGAGAGGGAGAGAGAGGGAAGAGGAGAGAAGAGGAGAAAAGAAAGAAAATCAATGTGAGAGACTCTTAACCATCACATGGGCAATTCCCCATCTGGTACTTAACTCCTATACAACATGCCTGCCAAACTGCTGTCTCGCCTCTGCTAGAATATCTTTAGGGGAAGGAAGCTGTCCCAACACTTCTCATCTTCCTTACAATGGAACAGCAAAACAGATGGAACAGGTAAACAAATTTCCACTAAACATGATTAAGAATTATATCTAACTTTTCAAGAGAGTAGGCTGTCAATAGCCACTTCAAAGGAGAAACCAGATTTGCCTCAAGCATCCCATGCTTTCTATAATGTTTCAAAATGGAGAGGTATAAATTTGAAATATTAATTTTAGAAATCACTGTTGAATAGCTGTGTGTGCTGCAGAGGGGAAGGTAAAAAAAAATCTTAGAAGTGATCACTGTAGGGATTCTTTTGAAAACAAAAGGAAAATAAATGTTTGAATAATAATTTAAAGTTTCACTTTGAAGATGCAATAAACACCTTGCACAGCAAGTCGTGGTCTAAGAATCCAAGAGCCCTGATGGATGAAGTGTAGGCTAATGGTATTTTGCAGCAATGATCAATTCAGATGTAGGAGATAGAGGAGAAGGACAGGAGCAAGTCTGAGGCTGCAGTCTGCTATCCTAAGGCAACTGGAAAGCAGGACACTCTACCTTGATTTTCTGCTTCTGACTTGTAATGACAGCACTGCAAATAATTGCCTTGCTTCTGATTTCTCTCAAGGTGCTCAGATTGTTTCAGAGTTTCAAATTCCCCCTTCAGAAGACCAACAAAGTAACAAATGGATTGGTGGATGATACTACTACCTGAATTCAATTTACAAAGGATCAATTCCTCTAAAGGGACACATTTATGTCTATATATTTTTTCAACATTTATACGAATAAGTCCATTTGAACTAAAATCATTTATCCTGATAACACACATGTAAACCTTAAAGATCTCAATGACCACATTAGTTGAGACTCAGCTGATTCCATTTTGAATGGTATCTTTCACCCCTACGTATTAAAACATCAATGATATCAATTTTTAACAAACAAGACTACAAGAAACAGGCAAAAACAAAACAACAAAAACCAACCTTAAAGTCAGTATGTCTTTTTATATGGAGGCCACTTGTTTTTCATATCTGTTTCAAAAGTATCAGATAATTAACATTTAGTGGCTAGATGACTGAAGAGCAAATCTTCCTGCAAAAAAGAATAAAGCTTCCTTGACCACTGAGATTTGGAAGTGAAATCAATGAAAGTCTATCAAGTACTCAGGATAGATTTGGTTGGCATCAAAAACCACAAAGATCTTTGGGTTCCAGGTATCATCCACACAGCTGTCATATAAATTCACATAGCTCCCGTCTTTGGAAGGAGGTCGCATGTATTTGGAGTCTCCGTTTATGTAATCTCCAATTAGCACTCGAGCAAGAAACATAGATTTATATGTTCTAAACAGATGCCGCTGTTGCAAGCTGACACCATGAATTTGGAATGTGTTTCCATGCTTTATGTCATCTTTGCAGAAACGACTGGAATAAGCAGCATCTCTAGCAAAATAGGTTCCTTAAACAAAGAGGACCAAGAAAAGCCAAGATTACTCCGAAGAATATATTAAAAACAAGCAAAAACATTTTGTCAGGAGAATAGATGCACAGAATTGTATAATAAAAGTAGATGTGGAATTTCCTCATTCACAGATCTTCAAGAGAAGAAGAGAAATCCATCTGTTATGGACAGCTGTGGTATAGACTGCCATAGGAATAGATTTGCTGGTATATACCAGCCCTCACCACCAACACCATCCCCTGCCCCCACCAAAATATAGCTACCAGAATTCTCTTTTTAAAATAAATCTTACAAAGAAACTAATTAATAAAACTGATAAAATTGGTTCAATGATTAAAAGTGTGGCTGGACCTGAGTTTTGTTTTGTTCTGTTTTTTTGAGATGGAGTCTTGCTCTGTCTCCCAAGCTGGAGAGCAGTGGTGCGATCTCGGCTCACTGCAACCTCCGCCTCCCAGGTTCAAGCGATTCTCCTCCCTCAGCCTCCTGAGTAGCTGGGATTACAGGCGCGTGCCACCACACCCAACTAATTTTTATGTTTTTTTAGTAGAGACAGGGTTTCACCATGTTGGCCAGGCTAATCTTGAACTCTTGACCTCAGGTGATCCACCTGCCTCGGCCTCCCCAAGTGCTGGGATTACAGGCGTGAGCCACCATGCCCGGCCCTGAGTTTTACTGCTTGGCCCTCCCTCCTGTTTCTGTTTCCTTCCACCACTTCCTCACCCTGCTCCCTTGTCAGCATCCAGCAAAGCTCTGGAGAGCACAGTGGAAACCGATGGCCTACAGGGATTCTTTTAAACCCCAAGAAACCATATTTCTATGATGCGGGATAACAATTCAATAATATTTCTGGAAACAATAGAATCCCATATCCATGAAAAGATTTCTGAGAGAGTATAATGCCATTCATATCTGAGCATTCCAAAACAAAAATGATTTTACTGGCTCACTGCCTGCACATGAAAACTCAACAAAGCAGCCAATTCTTCTGAAATGGTTGGCATCACAAGAGACAGACATCATTAAGGGCATTCTTACTCTAAAAAAATGGGGAAATGAATTGCAAAGTCTCATATTTACCTAACACTGATGGGATTTATGTAACACCTTGACCTCCTTCCAGCTAAATAAGTGGAATGGCCTTTTAAGTAGTTATTTTTAAAATTAATTTACATTTTCAAAATGTAGCATATCCTGATCCTAAATAGTAGTCAGTTCTCTTGCTGGAGGTAAGGTACAAAGTAAGGACCAGAAAATGAAATGTACATCCCGTTCCTTTTCCCTCACCTCTCTCCTTAATTTGCTTGAGTACCAGACATAAATTGAAAAACCTGGATTTTCACAACATTATAAATAATGTGACGTTTTCCTCCACTATTCCTTATTGCTCACTAATATTCTTACCTATCATTTTCTTAAAAACCAAACAAAACAAAAACACTAGTACCTATTCTGGTACACAATGCAATTATAATCCATTTGTTTTCTCATTCTCTATATATTTGCCATAAAGCAATTTATATTTGTATTTATATTCCTCTAAAAAGAGGAAACTCCTAGGACTCAAACTGGACCTGGAGTTCTGATAATTACCTTTTCCAAAGACAGCACCATGTATACCATTTATTCTCCAATCAAAGTTATGAATGCAGATTGCTTCTACAAATTCACTGCTGGTACCATGAAATAGCATTTGTTCATTAATCTGAGGCACACCTCTTTTTTTCTTGAGCTGAGCCTTTTTCCTAAAAACACAATATACACAGACACAAAAGCACACAGAAATATACCATAAGTAGCATTTGTTCATCTTAATGAGCAAGGTTCAACAGAAAGGGTAAAACAGAAAATACTTTAATATAAATAATAAGTGGACAAAGCAAGTCTAGAAAAGAAATAATTTCAAACGTTCTTGGACACATAAATCGTCTCATCAAAAATTATTAGTTAACACTGAAACTTATGGTTGAAAATTATGCCAAAAACTATAGTTATCCCATGATATGCCCCAACTTCGTAAAGGTAATTGATTGTCTAAACCAGCTAAAGCTTTATAGATGCCTAAAACTGAGACAACAAACAAGTACTCCAATGTTCGCAGAGGCTTTAGACAGTGAATTCCTTGAGCAGGGACCATGTCATATGCTTTTTATCCTCAGAAACTAGAAAATGTTGGTTCAGTTGACTAAATTTTGCACCATAGGGTTGGGAGGGACATTAAGCCATCCAGTTTAATCCTCTTCCCAAGGATAAATCTATCCTAATACATAAAAGCATATTTAATGTAGGACTGATTATAACAGAAAACAAAAACTGAAAACAGCCTAAAATTATTTCACAGAGAAATGAATATATAGTCATGTATTTATATATAAAAGTTAAAAGTAATGAAGTAGATTTATGTGCATTAACATAGTAAATCTTGAAAAATAATATTTAATGTAAAAAGAATCTTGCAAAAAGAGATAGAGAAGTCAAAATAATACCGTGTATTATGTAGGTATACATACACAGGTAGTAAAAAATACAAAATACAAACAATAAGGCACCATACCAATCTCAGGAGGAAAGAAGGAGAGTAGGACAGGGATGGAGTAAACACTTCACCTGTATCTGTGTGAAGAGGAAGGAAATGTGACAAGTATCAAAATGTTAAATCTGATAGGTAGATACATGGGAGTCTGTAAACTATTTGCTGCATTTTCATTCTTGAAACTAAAAATCATATTTTAAAAATGAAAAAGAATCCCCTCCCCCGACTTCTGATAGCTATTTCATGCCTGCTTCAATCCATCAACTGCTCACTTTGCAAAACAGCACCGTCTATTTGTGATCAGCTGTAATAGTTGGAAAGTACATCCATCCCAACGCCAAACCAACATCTGCCTTCCGTTACTTCTACTGATTGGTCTTTATTATTCTCTTATGAACACTAACAATTCAAATCACTCTTACACAAAACAACATTGCAACTATCCAAAAATAACTATGAACACCTACTTAGGCTTTCTTTTCTTGGTTAAATATATACCATTCCTTCAACTACTCCTGACACAGCATAGTTTCTAGGTCTTCCTTTATCCCAACAGTCTTTAGTTAACAAGAATCTGCTGCATACTTTCTAGTTTACAAATGTTGGTATGAAATAGAAACAGTCCAGATATCATCAGACAGCACTGACTGCACCGACACCACTGAATGCATTTTGGTACCAGGGCAGTGAACTGCATGCACCATAATCACCATGATTGACTGTGTAGTCAGTTCAAACTCCTAGACTTTTTCAAACCAGACCTCTCTTAGCTTGCTAAATTTGTACAACTGATTTATAAACTGAATGTAATAGATTTATTTCAGTTAAGTTTTACTTGATATAGTAATTTAAAAAGTAAAAATTAAGTAACAGTAAAATATCCGTATCACAGACTGAGTTCTATAAATGATATGGAGCTTGATGAGTATGTTCGGGAATGGATACTTGCATTTAAATGGAGACAGAAATGAAAATGCATATGGTCTTTCTCAAGAGTCATTTGGCAGTATGTATCAAAATTTAAATGTACATGCTTTGATCTATTTGTGATAGTCTTTTCAGACCATTAAGCATGACCTTAGAAGGTTGTGCATTTAGCAAATGTTACTTTACAAAAAGTCAGCATGCTTTCACTAAGAATTATACCAACTTCCTTTTTTAGAACTTTATGTTCTCACTTTTTTTAAACAATGTGCATTTGTTCCCTTTATAAAAACAAAGGAAAAAAATTTTTAATAAAAAAAAAAAGATAATACTTGTTTTTACCCACTGTTTCAACCTTCCAAGGTCTTTCTGACTGCTGATTCACTCACTCAACAAATAAGCTACCCCTTCTAGTTTTGAATCTTTCACAAGTGTGATAAGCAAGCCCTCTGCATTTTCATCCAAGTTTCTGATAAAAATTTTGAAGGACCCAAGAAGAAAGCATGCATGCCATTCGAGTTACTCTTCTGCATGAGACTTTTTGGCTACTAGTTTTCCTCTTTGAAATACCAACCAGCACATATTTCTCCATCTTGTCTTCATGAAAAGAAACTTTCTCAACAACTAAAAAGTGAGAAGCCAAGCTAGACTATCTAAGGGGCCTATCCATCTACCACTGTGGTAATCCTATTAGTCCGGCATTAGTGAATCCATGCTGGGTTTCTCAAAGAAACATTAGTATCATACACAACGCCAGGCTTCATGGTCTGTAATGTCAAACTTGTCAGTGTTGTGCTTCATGATCTGTAATGACTAGAATCCACTCTAAGGAAATTCTGTCTCTACTAAAAAATACAAAAATTAGCTGGGTGTGGTGGTACACACCTGTAATCCCAGCTACTCGGAGGCTGAGGCAGGAGAATCACTTGAATCCAGGAGGCGCGGGTTGTAATGAGCCAAGATTGTGCCACTGCACTGCAGCCAGGGGAACAGAGCAAGACTCCATCTCAAAAAAAAGGGCAGGCACGGCGGCTCATCCAGTAATCCCAGCACTTTCGGAAGCCAAGGCAGGTGGATCACGAAGTCAGGAGATAGAGACCATCCTAGCTAACACGGTGAAACCCCGTCTCTACCAAAAATACAAAAAAATTAGGCGGGTGTGATGGAGGGCACTTGTAGTCCCAGCCACTCCGGAGGCTGAGGCAGGAGAATGGCGTGAACCTGGGAGGCGGAGCTTGCAGTGAGCCAAGATCGTGCCACTGGACTCCAGCCTGGGGGACAGAGAGAGACTCTGTCTCAAAAAAAAAAAAAAAAAATTCATTTATCACTACTTTTCAGGTACAAATTCGAGTGAAACTCGGTTTGAAAATTTGCTGGAGTTTCTCTTAGATATTATAAATAAACTGTGGGTTAAAGGGCATGGAGTAGGGGTATAGGCAGGCATGGAAAACAATGCTTACTTCCTAGATTAGATGGTGCGTATACACCCGTTGAAGGCACAGAGCAGGGGCGTGGTGGTTAAAGCTTTGTATCCCCACGGCACAGTCTGTTCTAGTGCCCACTACTCCCACTACTAAGGCAGCCATGAAATGTGGACATTCAGACTATGACCTTGGTGTTCCAGAAGGGCTAAAGTCAAATTCTAGGGCCTCATGAACTTTAGTTACATCTGCAAGGAAAGTCACAGAACTACACTAAGTTCTTCACAACCCTGCCCACCTTTGCCCAGATCCACAATCATTCCTGAACTTACTGAAAGTACTGTCACACCCACTTCTCAAAGTGTCTCAAAATGATCCACCTCTTAGGGATTGGAGTGCCAAACTGGCTAAAGTGTGTATGCCACATGCTCTGCACTGCAGCAAGAATATGTCCATGCTCTGGATTAAAGTAAGTCTACCTAGATTTAGAACATACTTCACCCTGCCGAACATCAGAACCACTTATAGAATTGTTTTAAGGTAAAAATGTCAGAACCCAGGGGTTCTGATGCAGTAGATCTGTGACGGGTGACAGAAGTCTCTACTTGCTAGCAAATTCCACTGGCGATTCTGACCTGCAACTAGGTTTGAGAATCTCTGATCTAAATTCACATTATTAATAAGATGCTCTTACGTCCTTGCTGCCTTATGCTTCCCAGCTGTGGATCAACCCAACCATCTCCACTACCTGCCCTTCCATTTGTACTCTGAAGTACATTACACAACATGGGTTGCCCCATAAATTCACATACTTTAGCTAAGCCCTCAACGCTGACAGAAATCCTATGGCTCCCAAGATAGCTCGTTCTACCCCATTATCCACAGTGGCCATTTCAAATCTCCTCTTTCCCCTTTCCTTTTCCTCTTATCAACACCTCCCGAACACTTTATTCTCTGTAGGTGACCTCCCTTCTTCCCTCACAAAAGAAATGGAAGGTATCAGGAAGGAACTCCTTAACCTAACTCCTCTTTTCATCCCCTACCTGGACTTATCTGTAAACATAACTGGACCACGCTTCTCTATCTCCTTTCTGACATATGTTCTCAGAATTTCATCTCATCACACTTCTTCAGGAGCTGGAATCCATCAACTGCCCTTCCACTCTTTCTCTAAGAGTCTTTAAAATTTTCCTTCTCCATCGGTCCTTTCCAATTACAATGTTCAGTTCTCTCCCATGATTAAATTTCAAAAACATAACAATAACCCCACATTATCTGTCTTCTCATATCTCTCACCCTCCTCACTGCCAAACTTCTTGAAAAAGCTGTCAACATTTGCTGTATACACAATAGGATGTCTACCAACATTGCTTTCCTCTAGGTTACCAATGGCCTTCTTATTGAAAAATGCAAAGGAACTTTTCAGATTTATCCTACTTAGCATCTTTTCAGTATGTAATCGCACAGATGGCACCTACCTGTGTAAACCACACTCTCCCTCCAGCTTCTGTGACTACATCGTCTATTGGTTTTCTCCCACTTTCTGTGGTTGTCAGTTCCCTCCCTGGGTTCTCTCTTCCTCTGTGCATCCCTTTCAGACTTGGACCCTTGGCCCTCTTCTTTTCTTAATGTACATATGCTCCCTAGTCATCTTCTTCATTCCTGTAGCTTCTATTACCCCACACCCTTGGCCCTCTTCTTTTCTTAACGTACACATGCTCCCTAGTCATCTTCTTCATTCCTATAGCTTCTATTACCCCACATTTTCTAACAACTCCAAAACCTCTGTCTCTAGTCTATACCACTCTTCTGAACTCCTGACCCACATGTCAACTGCCGTATATCGACTACTACTCCCTTTCCATCATCCCTAAAGTTGTTCTTACTGATACTCCCTTAGTCAAGTAACACAAACAAGCCAAAATCTTGGGAGTTATCCTTCTCATCTCCCTTATTCACCCCATCGCAAACAGTAAGTGAGGCACCAAGTCCTATCATTCTATAACCTTAATACCTCAAAACTGTCTTCTTTGCTCCAACACAGCAGATACCACTTTGGGTCAGGCAACCCAACGTGTCTCAGTCTAATTACTGAAACAATTTCCTAAATTGGTCTCTCTGCTTCGAACTGTGATCCTTTTAAATTACGGAGATTTTGTGTTTGACACTTCTTTGTTGTGGAAGGCTTCGTCTTTGTTGTGTCATGCACTGTAGGATGTTTAGCATCCTGGCTTCTATCCAGCAGATGCCAGTAGCACCCCCACCCTGCCACATTAACAATCAAAAATGACGCCAGTCATTACCAAATGTCCCCCAGCAGGTAAAACCACTCCCAGTTGAGAACCACTGCTTTAAACCCCTTCTCCACTGCACAGCCTAATTATTTTTCTAAAATGCAAATCAGATGCATTACTCTCTTGCTTAAAGTTCTACAATGGCATTCTACTGTCCCAGGAAAAAATCCAAACCTCTTAGTTTAGCTTATAAGGCCCCACATGGTCTAGCCCCTGCTAACTCTCCGACTTCCACTCTGGTTCGATCCAACTCAACTAAGGCTACTAAAGACGATCACACAACCACCCCAGCGGTGCTACTACAAACTCCTGCAGGCTCTGCCTCTTGACACCATTCTACCTAATTTCTGTTCAATCTGAAGCTGTTTCAATTCTCTGTGCTCCCTCTTATATCCAGACTTGGGCTCTTACTGCCCCAATGCCCGAGCTGCCCTTCTCCTATCAACTGGTGTCTGGGACTCCCTAATTCTCCCCACTCCACTCCACATCCCCTACTTTTGTTGGCAAAGATGGATGGATCCCCTCCCTTTGTGCTGCCATGATGCCCTGAGCTGACCCCCACATTTCTGTGTTACAATGGTCTGGCTCTCCAAGCTATGGTTCTCTGTACCGTTTTATCCCAAGTGCCCAGAACAGTGCTTGTCATAAAGTAGGTACTAAGACATTGTTGTTAGAAGAAGTGGGGGACGTAAGAGAGGCCTAGGCAATGTGAAAACTATTGCCGGATGGACTCATGTGGGCCTGACTACCTACATGGTGAGTCATAGGTTACGTGACAGTGAGACAGACCAAGTTATTTTAGTTCTTCAGGATGACGTCAAAATGACAGGCTGCCATTATAATGAGACTCAGCATTTTGTACTGTCGTGGCAGGTGGCAGGTTCACTTACCATCACAGATTTCTACAGGCTGACATTACATAAAACCATGAAGGGCATCACCAGAGTAAAACTGTTCCCAGTGAAATTCTTAGTACAAAATGTTCTGGGGAATTACTGGTACATTTTTACCACTATGATTTAATTGGGGACTCAAGTTATGAAGGAGACCAATTTGATCTCCAATTCAGAGGGCTGATGAAGAATAATGAATTAAATTTTCATCAGACTATTTTAGAAAAACTTACTTTATTCACTGAGAGAACAAAGTCAAAGGAGGCAGAGGCTTCTGTCTTCCTCTATAAAAGAATCATCTAAACAAGAACTAAATTAAACTTTATAAACCCAGTTAACCTCAGTTATTGTCAGAAATAAAAGCTGGTTTGGCCAATAGACCCGAGACTATAAAGAACACAAGCTGAAGGCCCCTTATTTACCATAAACTATTATGAGAATAAAACCGGAAATGTACGCAGGCCACATTAACTAGTCAGTCAGAACCAAGAAAGAATTCCATGTATCATTACCAAACAAAATCAGCCTAATTCTCAGGTATATAGAAATGAAATGAGTTAGGGTCTGGGATTTGCTTTCAAATACTTTAGCAACAACAATAACAACAAAAAAGGAGACAGTTTATGTGCGGTAAATCTTGATAGATGTTGAATCAGGATGATACATGAAGTTCATTATATTAGATTCTACTTTTGTGTTTATTTGCAATTTCTCTGAATAAAAAGTTAAAAGTCAGCTTATATACTTAAAATTATTAGAAATCAAATCTCATCCACAAACGTTAACTGAAAATATTTCAGAGAACCACTTATTTTAATTTTTTACATGTCATAAAAAAATACAGCAGAAGAGGCTAATTTGGATAATACCTTTGATAGCTTTAAGTTTTCTGTAACAGACTTTATTTTCGGTTAAGTGAACACTGAGTCACCCAATGGGTCATTTCCAACTTAAATCTAGTAAGGAATTGAGATTTTAAATCTACAAAGTAAACTTTAGGCTAAGCAAGAAATTTGAAGGTATGTTTTAAAGTGTTCTTTAAAATAAAACAGGCAAAAGACTACTGGCAAGATCGTATGACTGTTAAAAACAAAACAGTGTTTGCAGAGACTTCTAATAAAAAGCTGAGCCAAGGAAGTCCTATCAACAAAGCTAAACAGCTCTGACACTCCTCTGTAATGCTGATTTCAGCCAAGATGCATAGTTCTAAACCTTGAAAGGAAGGAGCTTCTCACATTGCAATGTTACAAGCAAAGTTTACAGACCAACTCCTTCACTCCCTGAGAATGCTGAAGAAGAGCCCTGAGACCAGGTCAAAATATGGCAAGAGAAAAGCAGCATGTCTACACCACTGAAAATTAACACAATTCAGTATTTATGTTTTAACCATAAAAGACTTAGCGGTAAGGAGAAGGTTCAGATTAGAAATCATCTCACCTGCAAAAGAATTCCCACAAATCTAGGTTTTGAATTCTCTGAATTCTTTTAATTCGGTTGCGATCCATCGTTTTCCCAAAGAGATTAGCAACTTCATTGTATTCATGTGTTTGACTGTGCAGAGGAATAAGCTGGAAAAATAAATTTGCAGAGATTTATTGCGGTCCTTTCCAGTTTCTTTCATGGTATATTCAGTCAATTCTGCTCTTACCTGATATGGTACTTGAGTATTCACATTCTCCCAGTGTGGTGGCATAGGGATGGCCTCGTTTTCACAGATGTAACTTAAAACAGCAAAAGACAAAACAAAATATCAGAAGCTGATTATAATTACTGTCAAGAATTTAGCCTTTTCTTCAAAGCTTAATTTTCATTTTCAGGGTATTGTGACACATGCAATTTAATATAGCCTTTGGTTTCTTTATTCAAAAATTATTGAATGTCTATGTGTGCTACTTTTTAGATGTTGAATAGTGAACTTTCGAAGGAAAATATACAACCCTATATATCATAAAAATTTCAAAACTGGTTGCTTAGTTGTCTTTTTTAGAAATTTCCAAAATTTCTTTAAAATGTGAAGATTTTAGGCAAAGAAATTAAAAATAAAATCAAGTTCCTGATGAAAACTACAGGCTGAAACTCGTGCTTATATTGCCTATTGAATAAAATCAAAACTCCTCAACCATTCATTCAGTGTTCTCCAAGATCTAACTCAAATCTAAACCTTTCTCTGTTAATTGCCCACTATTCTCTCCAACAGCCCACTAACTTTAAGGGTTATCATTATTAGCATAATCAGTCAGCAAATCTTAAAAACTATCAAACATGTTCAAGCCACCGGATGTGAATACAGAAAAACACAGTGATGTTGAGGGATTTAACAGCAAAAGGCTGAAAATGACACACCAATCGCCTCCAGTGACTGGATGTTACTGAAGAAATTAATAAATTTCAAACTGATCTGTAGTTTACTTTTTTCAAACTTATTTTAATGAAAAAAATCAAATACGTGGTTTAAAAATTAGTATGTATAAAGAAATATACTGTGAGAAGTTTTCCTCCCGCTACAGTCCCTGCTACGTCCAAGTCTCACTTTTTGCCCCATCTCCTGGTAATTATTATTTTAGTCTCGGGTATTCTTCCAGAGCTTCTTTAGGTTAATGTAAGCCAAGCTTTTTGCTCACACAGATGGTAGCATAAAGCGTACATTTATTGCACCTGTGTTTTTGTTTTTTACTTCATAGATTCTTAGAGATCTTTCTGTAACAGTACATAGACAGTATCATTATTCCTAGTGCTTACAACAGAGCCTGGTACATAGTACACACTCAATAAGTACTAGATGAATGAATGAATGCATTCTATTTTACAGATGCACAGAATTCCACCATATGGACATACCATAATAATATTTAGCTTGTCTCCAACTTTTTGCTACTGTATTAAGAATGCTGGCCGGGCGCAGTGGCTCACGCCTGTAATCCCAACACTGGGAGGCCGAGGCAGATGGATTGCCTGAGCTTACGGGTTCGAGACTAGCCTGGGCAACACAGTGAAACCCTGTCTCTACTAAAATACAAAAAAGTAGCTGGGCATGGTGGTGTGTGGCTGTAATCTCAGCTACTTGGGAGGCTGAGACAGGAGAATCACTTGAACCCGGGAGGCGGAGGTTGCAGTGAGCCGAGATGGCACCACTGCACTCTAGCCTGGGCAACAGAGTGAGACTCCATCTCAAGAAAAAAAAAAAAGAAAAAAATGCTGCAGGAACACATTTGTTCATCTGCCATGTTACATGTCCACTTGTCTATCTGTAAAATAATATATTTGAAATAGAATTTCTGAGTCAAAGAATGCATTTTTTAATAATTTTAACAGACACCAACCAAATGCTGTCTTTGAACGCACCTACTGACATTCTCACCAGAAATACAGAAATGGCCTATTTTCCCGCAACCACTCCAAAAAGGTGTGTGATCAAACTTTTGAATTTTAGTCAATTTGATAGTAAAAATCAGTCTGGTATTAATTTGTTTTTCTCTTATTATGAGTGAGGTTGTATGAACTGTTCAAATTATTTGCCCATGTTGATCTCCTATTTAGAGAGTCCTAAAAGTACTTCATATAATATGGAGAATACCCCTTCAACTACAAGAATGAATAAAAATATTTTCCCAATTTTTTGTGACCAAAAAAATGCCTAAAACATACTTGGCCTAAAGTATCTTTTAGCTACGACCAAAAGAATGTTTTTAGTTTTTATGTAGTCAACAGCCTTAAATAACTCCTTGCCAATAGGAAGCATGTATTACTTACCTTGCATGTAATAAATGCTCAATGTAGTCCCACAGTAAATAAATATTTCTATATCAGCACCTACTGACCTTCAACACCCTACTGTATCTTACCTAAATAGTCCTCTCCTTTTATTATTATCTTGCTTATTGTCCTCTATTCTGCTTAATTCTCTCCTTGTCCTGTCTTTGTTCTACACTTCGTACAGTCTGTGACAGAACAACAAAGTGTTTGATCCCATCACAGTGCTTCTTGCCTCCACCAAAGTATAGCAGATACAGTGTACCATTACAATAACATCTTCCATTATTATGTCTCATTTTTCATTTTTCTCCCAGATAAAATACTTTCTGAAGATAAGTAATTCATTATTTGTACTAAAAAATGTGGATATGACGTAGCTAGTAAGGAAATACTATTCTCTATATTCCACAGAAGTACAAAAGCATTCATTACATAAGTACTTGGAATAACTTTTAAATCATGATGCTAAAATAAAACCAAAATAAATGCTAAAATAAAAACAATCGAGAAACAAACTGACAGAAACTTAAAATATTTCTTTTAATTAACACGCTACCTTTTTTTTCAGTTTCATTTTAAATTATTTGAACAAAAAGAATTTCAATACATGCTTGAAGAGTCATTTTAGAAAATAGGAGACATGCTTTAAGATTTTTTCCTTCAAGTCCATTCACATGAATAATAAATATTTATTGTCTTCTGACATTTATACATCCTTTTTCAGACTTCTTATGGCCAGAGCAAGCATAAAAGAAAATTTGTAACCAAGTTCCAGGGAACAGAAAGCAATACTGTTGTCCACTGTTCTACTACCTTCCTTAAGTCTCCCTTAGTCGCTACAAATTTGAAATTACTTCTAGGAGTTGACCAATGGAGATCAACGGAGGTGGAAACAAAGTGAACAATTACCTGGTTCTTACAGCCCCAATAATTATATGTCTCTGAGAGAGTATTTCCAAGTTAACAATTTAAACTTACCTCAGTGAGTTATTTTATGAGTTCAGAGCAGAGACCACAAGGCATTTTGTAACTACCATGTAAACTGTTCTAAAGAATTAAAAAATGTAAATATACAAGAAGAAAGGAAAAGGATAACATGAAAGGAAGCACTTAGAGTAAATAATAATGTTGCTATTTTGTCAACAAATGAGAGATTTGATATTTATTTATTTATTTATTTTAATTAATTATTTTTTTTTTTTTTGAGATGGAGTCTCGCTCTGCCGCCCAGGCTGGAGTGCAGTGGTGCAATCTCGGTTCACTGCAAGCTCCGCCTCCCGGGTTCACACCATTCTCCTGCCTCAGCCTCCCGAGTAGCTGGGACTACAGGTGCCTGCCACCATGCCTGGCTAATGTTTTCATATTTTTAGTAGACACGGGATTTCCCCATGTTAGCCAGGATGGTCTCAATCTCCTGACCTCATGATCCACCCACCTTGGCCTCCCAAAGTGCTGGGATTGCAGGCATGAGCTACCATGCCCGGCCCAAAATTTGATTAAAAGATCAATATTATTAAATGGCCTACCAAAATATTTTCAGTCTATTTGTTTCCAATAGTAAGAAAAAAAAACCCCACTCTTTCCACCCCTATTCTCTTTACCATACCTGAAAGCACTGATAGAAAAGGGGGCTCTTTTTATTAAGCGCTGCTTTCCAGTGGTGAGATTCATTTGCTTCATTTCTGTATACAAAGACAAGATATTAGATAAGTCATAAAAAACACACTGTAGTATAAAGTGTCATGAAGATTAATAGCCACGCTACGTGATGATCAGGAATCAAGGAGCTTTGGGAGGAGCTGGCCGGCATAGTATATTATGGGTACTTTACCATAGCGCTATGGATCATGTTGTGAAGGTGCTATTCAGGGAAGCACAGCTTCATTGCTTGATCTAAGCTCATACATAAAGATGCTAATTTCATCCACTGCTCAGTATGCACGGTCTATTCCCCTTCTGTATCACATTTAGGTTAAACAGACACTAAACTAGGAGAAACTTAGGAAAGCTTAGAGTACTAGAGAGAAATTACAGTATTAAATGTGGTTGGTTTATTAAGTAGAAAAATGTACTTCCATCTCTGTAAAAATTTTGGAAATGATTATAAAACTTGTACAACTCACAGAATTTCAAAAATTTCTACATTTCCTGATTTCTCCTTAATTATATAACTAAACCTAAAAAATAGAAAACCTGGCTAGACCCAGTACAAACTTACATAAAAAGATTCTAGTGATAAGAGACTAATTACTTAAAGGTATCCTTTTCTTCTTTCATCCATGCCTCAGTCATGGCAATATTTACCAGGTCCATTTCTTCATTCCTCAAAGTTAAGTAGTGATTCTTAATGTAAGATTCTAGCCAGTTTACCTCATCTAAATGACATCATTCTATTTCAAAATGATTAGGTTTACCCACCCAGACCAAGGCTAGTATAAAGTGTGTTCTGTCCTTTCCGTGTTACTCTACACATACTGGATTTACCACTGTTCAGGGAAAAAGCAAGATCATCTCAGCATGTGGAGCAAGACCTGTGATGCCACCTTCTTGGACCATCTCATTTTGAGTTTACTTTTTACCATTTTTATGGAGAAAACCTGAGTTGGCTAGGGGCAGAATGGCTGGAGCTGAAATCTGCAAAGAGTACATGTGAAATGCTAATACCCACGCCTTTGAAACAGGATCATTACATAGAGGGTTGGGGAACTCAAGTTATTAGTATATGTAACTCCTGTTCCTTAATAATGATATTTTTAATAAACTCTATTTTCTGAGAGCAAGTTTCCAAAAAGTGTAGTATACTAACAAATATTCTTTCAGAAACACGTGGCTTGCTAAATGATCTACCAAATGCTTTGATACATTTCATGCTCTACATGAGGTCTGTTGTCTGTGCATGTCATTCGGTTTCAGTTCTCCCTCAAAAATACCTGTACACATGACTAAAAATGCCTACCAGACACCTTCTGCCTAGACTGCGGCAGAGGGACAAATGTCAGGGCCTCTTAAATCCTGCTTATTTGCCTAATGGCATTAAAAAATTACGGCTTGTCACAAGTAAGGATCTCACGGTTTTTAACTCTTGATAATTAAAAAAAAAAAAAAAACAAGACAAACAACTTTGGTGGGATAATAATTATTACATATTTGGTTCCATCAATCACTTACTGGACAAATCCCCTTCACTGTTTCTGGGCCTTGGCTCATCCCAGGGGATTTCCTAATGTCTCCCCACCCTACCCAGCCACAATACACTACAAACACTGTCATAAAGACACTACTCACAGGAATTGAGAGACAGCAGCTAAAGGACTAAGCTGTGTAGCAAACAAAATGTTCCTTTATTAAGAAAGCCTCCCATCCAGGTCGTGTTTGCCTCTAAGCAATAAATAGCTGAAACTAACAGCTTGAAACTTGAGGAGCTCAGTTCATCAGGTTTTTCATGGGACACCCCAAAACAAGCCCATATATCACAGATGAAATCCAAAGTGGGACTGATTTCCAGATTATCTGGCTAATCTGTGAAAGAGCCAAATAAATACGAAAATGACAGAAGGCAATGTCCATTAAAGAAATCGTTTTCTGACAAAGACATCAAGAGAAAGGTCATTCAGCTAAAAGTTGTTCTTGAAACTACTGCCAACTACCTATGACTTTCTCACTTGACATCTGTTTGATCCTTAAAGTAAAAAAGTTCTGGCCAAGCAAGGTGGCTCACGCCTGTAATCCCAGCACTTTGGGAGGTGAGGTGGGTGGATCAGGAGGTCAGGAGTTCAAGACCAGCCTGGTCAACATGATGAAACACTGTCTCTACTAAAAATACAAAAAAGTTAGCCGGATGTGGGGTCGGGTGTCTGTAATCCCAGCTACTCAGGAGGCTGAGGCAGAGACTTGCTTGAACCCAGGAGGTGGAGGTTGCAATGAGCTGAGATTGCACCACTGCACACCAGCATGGGTGACAAAGCGAGACGTCTCAAAAAAAATGTAAAAATGTTCTTACCTATTTCAAAAGAGCGATGGGATGATGAATAAAACAACTGATATAGTGTTTTGTGTTCCTTAGAAGTATGAAAGGCACTTTATACGACAATCTTCACATACATTAATATATACAACCATATAAACACACCTTTTATAAAAGGTAATGTTGCTCAAGATTTTAAAACTTGAATTTTTATAGAGGTATTTTTGTATATAACAAAAAAGATATACTTCACTGTTTGCAAATATATCAACTAATCCTGACCTTCAGAGCTGTAGATTTTACCATATCAATATACTAAAAACACACATCTATTAGGGAAAAAAACATACCTGCAAAGTCTATCTTGTAGCTGAATTTGGAAGTAGTAAAAGAAATGGAGCCACAAGGGTTTGTTTTGAAGCTTTTTTCGATATCTTCACTGCTAACTGAACACTGACTGTTGGTATCCGGCTTTAAGACAAACCAGAAAGTTTCATTTACCAGCGGTTCACATTAATGACTTGGCCACAGAGGTGGTACTGCGGTCAGAGAGACAGGGAATGGAGGGACAAGGGAAACTTACTAATCACCTGTGCTAGTTCCCAACACACAGGGAGAATCACAACTAAGTCAGCATACTGAAAATGGTTTAAGGATCTCCAGTGAAGAAACAACTGGTTATAGTCCCCTTCAATAACTAGATATATATAGAAATACAGTTATTTTTCCAGATAATCACAATTTTTACAGATTATTCCAATAATCATACTTTCTAAGTGGCTCAAATTAAATCTTCTTTTATAGTTTAGTAGAGTAAAAAAAAAGACTACAGGTTTTGAGTACGGATTCAAATCTCAGTTTCACTAGCTGTGTGACCCTTGACAAATTATGTCAACTTTTCTGAGTTTTACTTTCCTTGACTGTAAGAGAGAATGTCAACATCTGCTTCCAAATTACTGTGAGGATAAGGGAGAAAATAAATGTGCAACACCTAACTTAATACCTGGCGTACAGAAGTGTTTAATATGGATTTGTTCTTCCCTTTCTTTGTCCATCAAACCAAACTTGGAGTTGCTCAGATGTACTGACACCATGCAACTCTCAGTCACATTTGTCCTCTGTACACACAGTAAACACATATTGTTTCTTCCAAATAAATGAGTGTGAAAACTTGGGGAAAAGAAAAGGAAAAGGACTAGAATAATTTCTAACTTTTTTTTAGTTAAATGATTTTATTTCCTTAAGTTTTAACTTCAAGTTCTATATTTATACTCATTTTACATACATTAGCAAAGTGATGCTAACTGAATCGAAAACACTTCTGCTAAATTCAAGGAAAGAAGATACCTGAAACATGTGCCACTTCCCACATTCTGCCAAGTAAAACCAGCCCCACTGGGTATCTGATGTGTCCATGTCATCCACTTCATTGTTTGTTGTTTTAGAAAAGAATTCTTCTGCTTTGTGAAACATCTCCTGAAAAGCCAGAAAGAGGTGGAGGAAGAAATAATTCTATTAATAACAAGTACACTTTTTACAGATCATTTTACTTCTTTACAAAGAGTGTTATTCAAGTGTCTTTCCTCCCATGACACTTTAAAAACAGCCTTCTATCTTGCATATTGGCTCTGAAGATAAACATTTAAAATGTTGGACATCATTGCTTAACAACTTAGGCAAATAATAATAACCTTAGATAGAATATGCCAATGTCTATTCAATCATTTAAGCTATATCAACATCAAAAAGCACTTCAGGTTTTCAGCATAGCCCCAAGCAATTTCAATTTTATCTTATGTTCATGTATTTGGTCAAAAGGACCCATGCTATCATACTAGTTAAGATCAAATGCATCTAATTTTTATTTTAAACAGTCATTTCATTTAATGGCATGGAAAGATATTTATATGGTGTTGACTGTAAAAGATTACAAGAAAACAGAAACAGTATAATCCAATTTTAATAAAAATAAACTTACTCCTGTGAATGTGTGTGTGTGTATCTGTCTAAGTATATGTAAATGTTTACACACATATATAGAAAAGAGTCTGGATGTATATATAACAATCTACCGCCATTTTTTCTAAGTGTCAGGATAAAATAGCAATAATAGTAAACTTTACATAACTTACTATGTGCCAACTACTGTTCTAAGTACTATACAGATGATGACGCATTTAGGTCTCACAACAACCTAGAGACAGATACTATCAGTACCCCAAATTTATAAATGAGGAAACTAAGGCATAGAGAGGTCATACAATGAGGAAGTCAAGATTCAAATCCAACATCCTGGTTTCAGGGTCTATGCACTTAGCCACCGTCATATACTGTCTTATACTTCATTATCAATGATTTCATAATTTTAACTATACCAATTAACTCACATACACATTATCTTCGAAAAGTTTTAAACATTCTTGGTTGGGTATTGCAATGAAGAAGTCTCTAGAAAGGAGACAAAGAGGCTGGTCAAAGAAAATTAAACTCAATCTGGAATTTGGCTTCCTGTCCTCATTCTTCAAGGGTTTTCAAATTATTGAGTTTATACAACTACTACATAAAAAATATTCTCCTTGCAAAAAATCAGAACATTCAAAATAAAGCTAAAGACTTTTTAACCATCACTTCCATTCCTGGTACCTTCTCACCTTTCTTCTCTAGGATTAGCCAATGCTATAATTTCACTGAGTATCTTTCAGAGCTTTATCTCTCTCACTCTGTGTTTGTGTGTGTATAATTATACACATATAAAAACATATAGAGTTATTGATGATTTGTTAAAAATTTGATTTCCTGTATCACTGATTTTTTTTCTTACAAAGAATATGTACTACTGGGCAATTTAGAAAGTATTTGCCTTTTAATTTCATCATTTAAAATGTCCATCCTATTTTTAGAAGCTGTAGTAACCTGGAATAAGTTTCTATTACCTTGTCTAGGCCACAGTTGGCTCTTCACAAAATGAAAAATGATAGACTCCTTCCTCATTGGGTTGTTGGTACAAATGAATGAGACAATGCAGTAAAGTACCAAGTACAGTGCCTGACCTCAATGAAGGGGGTTTGTTATTTTTTATGTATGTTTGGAAACTCAAGCAATGCTTTATGATTATTTCCCATTTTTTTCTTCACGTTTTAAATTCGACTGGCTTCTAAGAAATGAAAAATAGAACGCCCTAGGATCAAAGCCTTCTGGTTTAGGACCCACTATTTACCTTATCTATTTTAACCACATAATAAAGACAACGATTTAAAGTTTAAGATCAAACTGTCCAGTAAACTATTCACAATTCCTACTGCTTTTTCAAATTAATGTTCATTTCATTTGGCCATTTAACTGTGAGAAAGAGAGAAAGAAAGCAAATGTGACCTAAATTTAGCTTCTCTTCTGAAAATAACCAGAAAAATTTGGAAGAATGAGATTGGAGCTAACAGTTAAGAAAAATATTTGCCTCATGAGTTTTATCTTTTCTCTATTAGGAAAGAGAATAGAAAATAGAAAAGTTCCCTTTACACAGTGTACATATACATTTGTGCTCTGCTATAAAACACCTTACCTAACACTTCGCTTTAGGCCAGGTCACAAATGAAAGTGTTTCAGCAACATCCTTTCAGAGCTTTCTGTTATAAATAACTTCGGGTGGGACTTAGGACAGCCCCATCTTGTATTTGTCACAGTTTTAGAGAGGACAGCACTATAGACAGGTACCATTGTATTGAACAATTCTAAAGTACTTCAAATCTTATAAAATTCCTTATCAATTTACACTATTTCTTTTCCTCCACAATTCAATGTGCAGGAGAGATAAGTGATTATTTTCCAATTAAAGTCAGGAAAAAAAACAAAGCAGAGAATAATACAATTTTTTAGTCTAGATTCACAGCCAGCAGTACAGAGAAGATTAAAGAAACACCTAAGGTCTCCTGAACCTCAGTTCTTCCCCTACGTGACCAAGCCCCACTGCCTCCTTTCACACATGCACAGTTATTTCTCCTCTCCTTTGCTTCACAGATGCTCTGGGTTTCTTTCAAAAGATGCATTTTATAAGATTAAACATTTCGATTTTCTACAGTAAGTTTTCTCTACAAAGAAATGACTATTTTGCATAATTATGCTCAAAGAGTTAAGTCTAATTTAAATTAATAACTTTAAAATACCGCAACCATAGTAAGAATGGCTCTAGGCTAGGACACATTTATAGGTAATAAAAAGAATATCCACCAGTTATCAGTTATGAAGTAGGTATTTAATGATGTTAGATGAATGAACTTGTTCAGTCACAAGGCCACATCCTGTCTGATTTTCCTGTTTGTAATTAGAAGCAGACTGGGAAGAAAAAAAAAAAGCTAGTACAAAGCAGTAAAGCACTTTGTAAAGTTTCCAGGGCAATGGGTATGCTGGTAGAGCTTGTCTTCATGTTATCTGTGACAAAGAGAATCTTTATTTACAGAGCCTGGGAACAGTCAGTCTGGATCATCAAATTGAAAAGCTGTGTGGAAAATGAGTTTAAAGTCAAAATCCTGGTCTATATAAGGAAAATAATGCTGCCTCCCAGACTGGTTTCAAGTTTTCTGACATAAATTTTAGTTTACTACAACAAAGTATAATTTATTTTGTTAGCATGAGTATAGTATCTTGAGGAAATCATATTTGGTAATAATAACTTCCTTGCCTCTACATATAAAGAAGATCCCAAACCTGATCTTAAAAGCTTAAAAACGAACGAGAACTTCCAGAATGACAGAATAAGGAGCTCAGTGGAACTGGCAAAACTACATTTTAAAAACTAGTAGGCTGGGCATGGTGGCTCACACCTGTAATCCCAGGGCTTTGTGAGGCTGAGAAGGGAGGTTCACATGAGACCAGGAGTTTGAGGCAAGCCTGACAACATAGTGAGACTCCATCTCTACAAAAAAATAAAATAAAAATTATTCAGGCACGCTGATGCATGCTTGCAGTCCCAGCCACTTGAGAGGCTGAGATGGAAGGATTGCCTAGCAGTTTGAGGCTGCAGTGAGCTAAGATCATGCCACTGCACTCCAGCTTGGACAACAGAGCAGGACCCTGTCTCACAAAAATTAATTAATTAAAAATTAAAAACTGCTGAAAATTATTTTAAAAAACAAACATTTGAAGTCTCCAGAAATTGTACTAAGGGCATACAGAAAGTGGAGAAACATTCATTCAAGAAAATTTACTAAATCTCAGAACAAGTTAGAGTCTGTGGTATTTGAGTTACAAACTGCACCATTTCTCACATCCTACCAGGTCTGTTATGAAGGCTCTTCCTGCGGTACATGTAGCCAAAAGACAGGCAGAGGGCTCCCCCTCCCTCAGGCTCCCGGGCTGTGGCTAGTTTTACCCTGGGAGGCACAGGCTGCTGGTGCTTCTCCTCCTTCAGCCCAGAGGTGCAGAAGCTCTGTTCTGGAGAGGTGACACAGAGGACCGGTCTCTCTTCCCCTACACAGCCCCCATTCAAAAGGTGGAAGTTCTATTCCAGGTACAGCAGGCTGAGAATACTGGGCCCTGACTGCCACTGCCCCAACTTGCTCCCAAGGGCTGCTACCACCACCCCAGTGACCACTCTAAGAATGGAGTGTTACTCTGGGGAAAAAAAGGCTCTCACCTTCAGCCCCAGGTGCAGTGGCATGGAGATTTTGCTCAGGGGGAAAGACAGGCCATAAGGACAAAGAGCTCTACATTTCCACCTGAGAGAACTGACTTTATTTGGAACAGAGAGGAGAAGCCCATGCCTAAGGGCATTATCAAAAACAGTGGGCCGGTACGGTAGTTCATGCCTGTAATCCCAGCACTTTGGGAGGCCAAGACGGGTAGATCACCTGAGGCCAGGAGCTTGAGACCAGCCTGGCCAACATGGTGAAACCCCATCTCTACTAAAAACACAAAAAATTAGCTAACCGTGGCGGCGTGCACCTGTAGTTCCAGCTCCTCAGGAGGATGAGACAAGAGGACCGATTGAACCCCGGAGGCAAAGGTTTCAGTGAGCTGAGATCACGCAATTGCACTCCAGCCTGGGCGACAAGAGCGACACTCCATCTCAACAAAAAAGAAAGAAAACAGTGGAAATCTTAATGAAAAACAAGAAAGGCTAGGAGTTCCAATACAAGCAGAATGGCAGAGCAGGCAGAAGTTTAATGCCGAGAACCAGAGACAGCGAAGAAGAGCCCTCTTAGACCACAGAGGAGTCAGAAAGGCACTATAAAAGCACTAGACTGTATCCACCCAGGAATGATCAGGGCAGAACATGGGGCAGTCCTGAAAACATTCTCTAAGCTATACATATACTCATCAACACAGTGTAGAAACTTCACTGGCACAAGGGTCTTAACCACAACTTCTGGTTAAACACAACTTAACAGAAGCTACTCTGACCCAGGGGCAATTCCTATGAAGCCAGGGTTAAATGAAACAGCACTATCATCCCTGGAAGTCTGGAATACTGTGTACGTGCC